TGCCTGTGTCAAGAAGCTACAAACTGTCTTACACAAGCAGCAAGTCGATGCCTACTTGAAAAGGCAGCCTTTCAAGTTTAAACAAATAAAAAATTGTGAGCTGACTCGGCTCAATAAGACATGAGCCGAAAGTTGGGGTTGAGCCAGATTTTTTGGCTGAGTAAAAGCTCGACTCGAATCGAGCTAAAAAAGCTCGGACCATTTTTACTCGAGTTGAGCCCGAGCCTCGAGTTTTGGCTTGCGAGCCGGCTCAACTCGACTCGTTGACATCCATACGAGAGGCATGGGGTTTAGATAAATATTTCTCCAATTTCAATATCACACCAACACATTAACAAAATGATTATTAATTTTTTCTATAATTCTTTGTTTTCTAAACCCCATATACACGCGCGCATGTAGTATGAAATGTTGGTTTTGGAAACTATTTTTAAGAAAAATAAGCGGAAGCAAGAACAATCATATTGTAAGATTTTTTTTAAAAATCAAATAATACACATATTAACTTAATCACAATATCATTAAGGAATAGATTAAAATGATACCGATGATCGCCTAGGATGTAAAAATTGAACTCCTCCTTTAAATCATCAACCTCCCAAAAGTTTCACAATTCTTTCTCGACATATCTCCAGTTATGAGGAACGAATGAGTAGACGTTTCAAATTTGTGTTTGATTTACACACTCATTTTATGTTCTCAACACGAGACAAAGTGAGAAGAAGAGAAATAACTCTTAAAAAAAGTATTTCACGTAAATTTATGTGTTATGTACGTTCTTTTCTAAGTATCCGATGAATCCTATTTATAGTTGAAAACATAGCTTTATTTTATTTTTTCAATTAACAATTTCATTAAAAAAACAAAACCACACTTATCACTAGGATGAAGCGGTGTCACTTCAATGGGGGAGAAAATCTCTCTCTCATATCCTCTTATCAGGTAACAATTTCGATAATTATCTTTTAATTATTTATCATTATCCACATGTAATTGATCCATGTTACAGACAATAATGCTATCATTATCACATTATTTAATTAACTTTTAATTATTTATCATTATCCATATGTGATTGAATTTAAATGGACACTCCATGTTGTAAATAATAATGTGATCATTATCACAATGTATAATTTCAAATCAATTTAAATAATCATATTATTTAAAAATAAAATTAATCCAATTAAATAATGTGTGAAAATCAATTCAGAATTTATAACTCTAAATTAATTAATTTAACCCTACTAAAATAATGTTCATGTATTTTTAACGGTGTCGACGAGAGGAAATAATGACATTATAATTTCAGACTCCAATAATAATGACTTAATTAATACGTCAAAAATCATTAATCCCAAATTATTTCACTAAAAATTTAGAATTGGACTCATAAAATTATAAAATAAATTATATTCAAGAGATTTGAACTGTCCATTAACCTTGAGGGGTTGCTCAATTGGTCAGGCATTGGGTTTGCTCTCCAATGGTCACCAGTTCGAATCCCCTCAGGGCCACTGAGGTGAGTACCCAATCGTAAACTTCAGGGCTCCGTGAGATTAGTCGAGGTGCGTGCAAACTGGCTCAAACATCCACAGTTATAAAAAAAAAAAAAAAAAAATTGAACTGTCCATTGATATAGACATTTAATATAGATCAATCCTCCATAAATGGTTCATAATTAAGTTAGGTATTTATCCGTGAACCTCTTTAATTATATCTTTCTCCATAAGTCCCATTGATCCTCTAATGAATAACGTATTTTATGATCTAATCATAAAATTGAGTACTCTTATTATTCAAGTCCCCAATCAACACATATGAGAACCGTCTATCTACTTTCCTATAAAGGAATGGATTTCTTTTTGTATATTAATATTGTCGACTATTTATTTCATTGTATTTTCAACGTACTTAGAATTTGACATTATTAATTTGCATCATTACTCGGCACATCAAAAATTATAAATTAATAAATATGAGTCTATTAATTACTCAGAATTAAGATTGATCCATATACGACCACCATTGATTAAAATTGAACAATCTATGTAAAAATGGATTTTATTAAGAAATTCATTGTTAATCGTGTTCCTATACTATATAATCAAATTATGGGCCGTTTTAACCACATTTTTCATGTAGAATACATTTTGGGTTGCGCGTAATATTATTTTATTGAAAAACGAGTGATTGAAAATAAAAGAGAATAATGCCTTTCGAAAAATATGGGAATCAAACAAGGGCATATGTAAAGTGCTTTCATTTCAATAATCACATTATTAACAATCTGGATAAAATTATTTCATTCAGAATGTAATGAATTGCACTAGTAATCATAATTAGATATCCCTATTTTAATTTTAAATCATGGACAAATTTAGATTATTTCCCTTTAAATATCATATAGCACTTATGTACAATATTTAAAGTTACATATTAAAAATAGAAGAATTTTTAATATTTATAAAGCATCTAATCATGCATACAAAATCTATTGAGAATCATTAAATGTTTATACCTCGTTTATTAGTGGGCAAGTCCCAACATAAAATTGTTTGAAACTTTAAAGATTCGTCGTGGGATGGACTTAAATTTTTAGATTTCTTTACCAGATTTGTAAAAACTCTGATTTATGTATCAGTTCGATGGAGGATCAATTGAGATTTCCTTACCTGAAGAGGAAAAATGCATCGTTTAATTATCCCAGGCTGGAGTCCGAGTCCCCAAGTTCATTCGCCGGCAATTATGATTTCAGATAGAGCAGTGATCAGCGATTTGCTTACTCCCGGTGAGCCTCATTCCATCAGTCGATTTTAGATGTACATAAACCTCTGTTATGGGAAAACAACTATAATTGTGTGTTTGCTCCCGTGTTTTTGTTTTTGGGATTATTATTGCTCTTATAAGGGATTAAGACTTAGTCTCTAGACATAGCAAACTTGCTATTCGCCCCCATCATGGCTATTCTTTGCCGCATGTAGTGGAGTATACAATTTGTTAATTACTTAATTGCATCTTGCATTGACGAATCTACAGAGAGGCTTGAGATGTCTAATACATACAAATTAAACACGTGAATTACATGAATAAAAAAAACTAAACCAACTAATTAATCAAGCCATATACTTGATAGGTATTAAAATTTATTTTTACCTCAATGATTAGCACAACAAAGCTAGTTATTTGTATAGATTCGATAACTCGAGAATTGATATTATTTTACAAATACTTAGAAAATAAGAAAATGGTGTTAACTAGAGCAGAAACAATGCCATCCGTAGTCCCCGCACCTCTCCAGCCAACATTTTCTTGTCTCCCGAAAGGGGCTTCTGATTTCAGTATTTAAAGAAGTCAAGATATGAATATTAAACAATTAGATTGATGGAGTAAATTTAAATGTTTACCTTCATTTTAGAAATTTTCTCTTGAATTTTGTCACATAGATTGTTGTTGTCATGTACATCTAGTTCCCAACGTTGTTCCACCAGTTGAAGTAGGAATGCCTCCAAGAATGCTCGAGGATTAGAGTTGTAACAACTATCCAGAATCCAGTAATGAAACCAAATGCTATGCAGATGTAAAAGTCAAGCGTTATAAACCCATCATCTTCTTCAAAACTATTCCCCTCTCCAGCGTTTTCAATTGAACTATTCTTCTGGACTAAAGCCGTAAAATTGTTTAAACATCGCAATATTCTTCCTGAAATGTTGTTTCTAGAAAGGTCCAAGACATGGATATTGGTAAGGAGGCAAATTGTGGAAGGCATGATTCCATCAAATTCATTAAATCGAAGGCTAAGATCTGTCAGGCTTGTTAAGTGAGTTCCTATCCATGCTGGAATATTACCTGTTAACTTGTTTCCTCCCACATCAAGCGTTCTTAGCCCCATTCAATTCCTCAAAGTTGAAGGCAATTCACCAATTAAATTATTACCACGCAAGTGTAATACCTTGAGCTGATCCAAAGTGCCCAAAGTGAGGGGAATCTTACCTGAGAACTTATTATTTGCCAAATCTAGAACAAATAATTCACTTATGTTCATCCAGCAATTAGGAAGCTCTCCTGCCAATTGGTTATCCGAGAGATCAAGCATGTGGATGATGGAGCCTTTAGGAATTGTGCATAAGTGAAAAATGGATCCCGAAAACATATTTTTGGAAAGTTTTACTTCTTTATGATAAAAAAGAAATAATGGAATTGGAACTGAAATGTTATTATAACTTAAATCTATAATTAAATGAGGAAAAATCAATTGTGAGGACAAATTAGGAATTTTACCTGTAATATTGTTATGAGAAAGATCTAATTGCATTATGGACATATTCCACAACCAATTGGGTATTGCATCTGATATACCAGCAAAAGAGATATTAAGCAAATCAAGAGTATTTCGAGTTTGAATCCAATTTGGAAAATGAGGGCCCAAATGACAATGGCTGAGCTCTAGTGTATACAATTGAAAAGGAGGAATCCAATCTGAGCTCAAATTGAAAGTCAATGAGTTCAAGGATAAATCAAGGTAATTTAAGTTGGCAAAGTTTGAGATGTAACTTTCGGTGATTGTATCTTCCAACAAATTTGAAGAAATTCCTAAATATTCGAGATTGGGAAGTTTCTCAATACCTTCAGGCAGCCTTTTTAATTGATTGTAAGATAACTCTAAAGAATAAAGAACTAAAGGTTGCCCAAGGCATTGTGTGTGAAACGCATTCAACTTATTGTTACCAAGGTCCAAAAGTGCTAAGGATGAAAATGTGGTATTATCTGGCAAGAGACCATTTAATTCATTGGATGATATATCTAGTGTATGTAAATTACGCAAAGAGCTTGGAATCCCACCATGCAACTTATTGTCATTCAAATAAAGCATTGCAAGAAAAAAAAATTCCCCAAAGGAATCAGGAATATGACCCTCTAATTGATTATACTGGAGTTCAATTCTTCTAAAACTTGTACTAATGTTAAACATCCAACAGAATGTGGAAAAGGAAGTGAGATAATTGGAGCTTAGATCGAGGATAGATAGTTGGGATAAAGAAGAATTAGTAAAGATATGATAGGAAAGCACTGGGTGGGAAGTTGACAGCTCATCAAGTACAATTTCTCGAGGAAAGGGAACCTTGTTATGTGCTGCAACTAGCTGGTTTGATTTATAAGGTTAACATAACTCAAATCAAGATGTGATAACGAAGAAAGATGAGAAAGACAATCAAAATTCTTGATTCTCAAATTGTTAAAACCAAGGTTAAGAGTATTCAGGTTTGTAAGGTTCCCAAGTTCGTAAGGAACTTCACTAGTGAAGTTTGATTATCTGAGTCTCAAGTGCCTTAAGTTCTTGAAGGAACCAATGAATCTTGGTATTTCACTTCCTCCAAAATCATTAAAACTCAGGTCCAAATAATTCAAATGTTGCAACTCAAGAAGTGAGGGGCTAAGCTTAGCCTTCAAATGAAGACCATCATACGGAGATGTATACAGATCAAGTGAAATTACATGACCAGTTCCGTTGCTACATGAGACGCCCTTCCATTTGCAACATTCCCTTTTATCTTCTTCACTTCCCCAGGATGATAAAACGCCATTTGCATCAACAAGGTCATGTTTAAACGTCAGAAGAGCTTGTCTTTCCCTCTCAATGCACCTAACTTCAGCAGTAGATACTGAATTGAGCTTCATGCATAGTGAAAGTACAAACATCAACATACTCAATAGTTTGATGAATCTATTAAAATCCATCATTTTCTCTGACATAATGTTTATAGTAATTAAAGAGGATTGAAGTTTTTCAAGTATTGTGTGCTCAAGCAATCAAATTATATATGAAAATGTCTGTCCCACAATGAAGTAGACTTTACTACAATTTCTTATAGCGTGCATAATGGGCTATAACATGTGGTCTTCATAAACATCTATCATGGGGCCTCAATTACAACACAATGTCACTCGAATCAATGAAGCATTCAGATTGAAAATTTCGGTTACTTAGTTGAATTTTGCTATTGACACACTAAAAATACAGCCCAAATTGGATAGCCCAAAGAGTGAAGCCCAATTGCAGGCTCAGGACAAAGGCCCAAATGAGGTTGTTGGTAAGTGCAAAAGGGGCCCACGAATATAGTAACATCATCGCCCAAGCCCACACGATGCCCAGAATTCGGACCAATGGAGTGCATCACTGTCACTCAGAGCGACAACTTTGTTTTCGCTCAGGCCTTCAAGTCGCCCAGAATCCTAATATGTGAGATATTGTGGTCATCGGAATAACAGTTACTGAGACAGTTATCGAGCTAATTATCACATTTAACGATTTAAGAAACCTCTTTGAAAGCAGTTGAACAATGAAAAGTAATGGCAGCAGTTAGAGATGGTAGTTCCACGACAAATTAGGCACCTAAAGAAAATTGATAGCAGTTTCCAAGTGGTTTGTCACGTAGAAGTCGTCATGGAAGTATAAAAGGAAAGAATAGACATAGACGAAATGACTCGAATTAAACACTCTCAAACAGAGAATATGTAATTTTAATTTCTTAGATTAACTTTAATTATCATTCTTTCAGTACTCGTGTGCTTGCGCCCCTTAGAGACATTCTGTTTAGTTCCAATTGTAACTCTCATCAATAAAGCACCCATTTTTGGGACTTTGTCTTAAGAGGTTTATCCATTACACAATCGTCTAAATTTCTTTTTAATTGTTAGCGACTATCCACGCGAAACAAGAGAAGGGACAGACAAGCTGCTATAGAAAGTAATAACCGACACTAATTGTTGACTTCTTGTTTAGAACCACCTTAATAGCACAACGAACCTTATGATCAAGGTTACCATTCATCTTCATGTTTGTATTCATTGTCCTTAATACTAAAATAATTAGCATTTATTTTCATGTATTTAGATTAACATTCACCTTCATTTAGATTCCTTTCAAGATATAAGTTACAATTCAAACCAGATTAGTTGAATTGCTGTTTTTTGAAATGCACGCATCTTCATATATTAGTTTTACAATACACACAAATGTATCTATATAAAACACACGTGAATATTTTTTTTTACATAAATGGCCACCAGTCGTCGCCAACTACACTGTGTGCATACGGTTAATCCCATCTCCCTCTGTCGCCATCACTAACCACGCCAAGCCCGATTCTAAAGTTGCTACCATCACGGGTCCTCCCTTCTTCTCACGTGTTCAGAAGNTTTGAAGTTCATACTATTAATGATGAATACTTTGATCAAAATGAAATATGTTTGGCCGAATTAATCAAAAGAGATGCATATACTTGCCCTATAATGGCTAAGCCTAGAATGTCGGGCAAAGATGATCCTATAAAAGATGAAGGCAAAAAAGTTAGAACGTTCTCGTTCGATGTAACCAAAGTTGACCTTATATTCAATAAATTATATAAGGATAAGCTGATAAAACTGAGGGATAAACACAAGTTGCCAAACCCTGAACAAGTTAATGGCAAAAAATATTGTAAGTGACATAATGCATGGTCACATTTGACTAAGAACTGTTTGGTTTTCCGTCATGTGTTACAGGATGCCATCGAATCAGGACGAATTACGTTTGAAGATAAGAAGAAGATGACAGTGGATGAGAACCCTTTCCCACAACCACTTGGAGTGAATATGGTGACAACTGGGTTTAAAAACAAGTTGCCAAAGTTCAAATTGGTCATAGATGACGGAGAAGAGGACTTTGAGCCACTCCCTAGTGTTTTCGAACGCTTCAAAGGGAAGGAACCCATGCAGGACGAAGACGTCCTATGTGCCAGATGTAAGGGAGAAGTGAGTGCAAAGACAGAAAGCTTAGGAACAAGACATCATTACCATCACCCTGATTTTATTCCAGAAGCGCAGCCAGTTAGAGGGCGAGGTGAGTCGTTCTATAGAGGACCACATTTTGAGAGGCAGTTCAGGCCAACAAATAATGTGAGATCATTTAGGCTGCAATCTCTCCAACTGAATGTATGGCATTCATTCCAGTATAATGGAGGAAGAGTAACGCCCTTCAACGAGATGACTAGAACCCAATAAAGGCGTTTTCAAAGAAATTATGGACGAATGATGAGGCAACAACAGGGATCGGCACGTCCTAAGGCGCCTAAGATACCTGAAGTGGCCAACCAAAATGTCCTTGGGGACAATGAAGAGACTGATACAGGCGAATCAATGGGAGACTTGTTAGAAAGTTCTTCTTGGAGATCGAAATTTGAGCGAGATAGAAGGGATGAAGAAGATACATATCAATCTCTTACTATTCAGTTCGGTACGTTAC